TATTTCAAAATAATTATTTTTTATTTTAAATTTATTTTAAATTAATTATTATTTTTTTATTTTTTAAAATAGATAAATCTTTTTTTGCTTTAAAATTATTATTTATTTATTATAATTAATTATTTTATAAAAAAATATTATTTTATCTTTTAAACTCTTCATAAAAGTAATATAGATAAATATAGGAATTGTTTCAAAATCTTTAATTTAAAAAATTATCAAAAAAATAATAATTGTTTTAAGACAAACGGAGTAATTGATTCTTTTTATTTAAATATTTATATATATTTGAAATTGATATATAATTATAATATCATTTGATATTTTTTTATCAGCAAAACTATTATTAGTCAGAGGACAAAGCGAATTCCAGCGCATGTACATCATAATGCATGATAAATAATCTAATATAATATTATAAATTTATAATTATAAAACATTATTATATATTTTATTTTTTTTAGTTAGGAGCTTCTTCGTGATATTGTATACATATATATTTATTGAATAAATCATGTATTTATTTATTTAATAATACATTATAATTATAAATTTATAATCTTTTGTAATATTATAATTATATAACTCAAAATATTATACACTTCTACTTAATAATAGGATATGACTATAAATTCACAATGATACAAGACATTATATTACAATTATATTATTATTACAGTAAAAAAGTGAAATGTTCATTCTTGAATGCTAACATTGCAGCTACGGTTATGGGTAAGAAATAATTATTAAGACCACATAAAATATTATAGTTATGTTTAGTTTTGTCTAAATTTATTAATTTGTAGTTAGGTAAGGTGCTTAGAAATATTAGCTATGGGCTAACTTCAAATAGTTAAATAATAGATATTAAGTACTGTTGTATTAGCTATTAGTTAAAAATTATAGCTATTAGTTAAAAATTATAGCTATTAGCTTTTGGGGGTTACATTACATTCTCAAGAACACTTGTGCAGACATCTTTCACCAGCACATATGGCATGGGGGCTCAAAAAATTTGAAAAAGGGTTGGTTCATGTTATGGTTTGTTGTTGTATGATCGTTGTAGTTGAGTAAAAATGAACTGCTTTTTAACACAAAGAGCTTCATGAGAATAAGATGTTTGAGCTGGTAGAAATCTGATCATTTCATGGGGTTAGAACCCTTTTGAATCTAGAAAATTTATCTTTCATGGAATGGTTCTCCAATCCTGTGAGATGTTTGAGTACAAGGAAATAGAGGGTTAGACGGGGAGCTCGATCTCGAGTTTTGTCTAGGGTTACTTATTTTGAGTATTGACCCCATTCTTTGTTTGAGTTTAGAGATTAATGTATATAGTTTTGAGTACTTTTTGTATTCACACAATAAAATGCTTTTGCTTTTCAAATAAAAAAAACTACTTTCAAAGGCAAATTAAATACGCTTATCATGTGAACTCCACCAAGCGGTTC